TGAAATATGCCATTTGTACCAATTAAGTTGGTTATAGTTGTTGCTTGGTGAAATATGCCATTTGTACCAATTAAGTTGGTTATAGTTGTTGCTTGGTGAAAGATGCCATTTGTACCAATTAAGTTGAAGTAACTACTTGCAGAAGTAGATCCACTGCACTTATTGAGAAATTGTAATGACATGGAAAAATATGTATAAAATATTGTTTTCAAACCTGGAGACATCTCACTCCAGACCTACTATGGACCAGATATAATTTAGCAGTCAGCACGGCTGTTTTATAAATCATTGAGGAGATTCATCACACAAACTCTTTATAAGTATAATAATGCTATCTCCTATCTAGTCTGCAGCATACCTGTGTAATGATGTGTAATGTCTAAAGGGAAAATACTAAATATAATTGTGCTTAACATTTAGCAAGATTAATAAAAGATATAACTGATATATATTGAGAGATATATTGGAGGAATTACTATTGCACTTGTATAACAGAAACTATGACACAAGGAATTTCTCATATTATTTTGGTAGATAACCTGTTCAATGTAATGTCCATATCAGTATCCAAAATGTAGGATTTGATAAGTTTGATTCTGAACTATTTCAAGATAATTTTAATGTGGAGGAATTTATCCATAACCTGTAATAAAAATTATTTTGTTTTTATATTACAGCCACCTCTGAGTGGGATTCTTTATTCCATACATAAATTCCTCGAGTTGGTGGTTTGTGTGCTTAATCCATACTGCATAACCTGGATTTAAATAAATTCATTTATAACTTGTGTGGAGTCAAACCCAATAACTACACATACCAGCCACCTGTTACAGTACAGTTTTAGTCTCCTTATGTAAGTAAATATATTAACTTGTTGGAAATGGTTCAGAGGAGGGCTACCAGGATGATTTCAGGAATGGATAGATTAAGACCTCTTATTCTGTCTTGAATAAAGATGGAGTAGAGGGGATCTTATTGATGTTTACAAGATTACCTGGGGATTGACTTAAAAACAAGTTTAAGATTTGGAAAATGGAGACTATGCTCTATTTAAGTTATATTTTTTTTAAAAGGGTGACTATCTTATTGTATAGGCTAACATCAGTAGTAGTGGAGGCTAGCATCATACAAAATTTTATATGTATATATATAAAGATAACTATATCCAATCGAAACTAAGCTGAAAAAGAAGGAAGATGTCTTGAAGCATGCACTAAAAAGTCAATCATTTTAATACATACCTCTTCATATCAGGTTTTGTTGTGTTCAGTATGGTCATAGCTGTATTAAAGAGCAGTTCCGCTACAAAACAAAAACAATGTACGTTCACTTTACATCTAAAATCATTCAATATTTAATTTAACCTCAACATTTGAGAAAAATCTACAGCCAGACTTCAATATCTACACCTCTTGTTTAATTTATAATATATACATTACACAGCTACTGAATCTGCATACTTTCACATGTTCACGATGAACTCAAAGTTCTTTTTTTTTTTTTTACACTGAGAAAAGCTCATACTGACTTTACAAAAGAAAACTGCAAAACTATTTCAATGATATATACTAATATCTCCTGGACTCCAAATCCTACATTTTCCTCTCATTGCATCGCAAATGCTGCCATTGGAAACTGCAATAGTGTTGAGTGTCACCAGGCATAAGATTCACCAATGGCTAAGAAGAAGTGTAAATAAACTAATTCTCATAACCAACATTTTTCATTTGTTTAATTTTATTTAATTAAACCAATTATTTCATGGGGAATTTGTAATGAAACTTAAATTTCAGAGTTTTCCATAACTATGACTTAAAAACAACCATTTTTCCAGGATTTCAAGAACCTGTGTGAACTCTGAGAGAAGATAGAACTTGTAATAGTATTTATGAAGATGCAGATATGAAAGGCTTTCCAACTTAAAAAAAATCCATTTTCTCAAATGCCACAGTAAGAAACCTCTTTAACTTTTTAACTCTTTTGCATTAGAGATTCATCATTATATTTTTAAGCATTCCTCAGAAATTCTATTTTTTTAAAATTAATAACTTAAACTTCATTTACTCCTTGGAAAACAAACTGTGTTAGCTTAGTTGGCAGCACAGAGCCCTCATGTGTCCCACTTGCAACTACCTGTTTAAACATAATTTATTACAATCCTTTGCTTCTCATATAACTAACCCTTAATCCATTAAGCTAACTTTTCTTTCATACTAGTCTTTTACGTGGCACTTTGTCAAAAGCCTTCTAAAAATTCCCATATACTAAATCCACACCTATAACCTCATCAACATAAGCAGTGGTATCTTTGAAGAATGTCAAATTTGTAAGACAAGTTTCTCCATGTGAAATTATACTGACTGTCCAGCAAAATTGCAAACACTGCTAGGTGGGTTTGAAAAGTATCTTTAAATCTCTCACTTTGGGTTTGTTGATTCAACCAAATTTGTGACCCCAAAGCGATTATCAGTTTCCATACTATAACTTTTAATATGCTTTATGTATCTTCATGAAATTTGGCAAGCTTTCAGCAAATATTACAAGTCTTTTGTAACAAAAACGAGATTTTTTCATTTAAGTATTTTTACTAAATATGTGTCTGTAAATATATGGAGTCAAGAGTGTTGATTGCTCAAAGTGTAAAGTGAGTTTCATGTAAAAATTAAAATACTTTTCTTTATCTGAAAATTTCCAAATTTCATTTGCACACTCTCTAAAAACCTCCTAACTAAATACCATTTTTTTTATTAAAACTTTATATTCTATCTGTTATTTTCTCTACCCTAACTCTATACCTCTGAACGAACTCATAACCACCAGAAACAAATAAGAAATAAATCTAAGATACTCTTTTTATCTTCTAAAATGACTGCAAATTGTAACATGAAACTACAATTGCTTATCCTAAATAGATTAAACCTCATAACAGTGTACATCTGTTTATAATTAACTTTACCGGTTAGTTGCCTTTTGAACCCTGTCTAACTAAAAATCCCATCACACAAGTTTTAAATCACTCAGTAAACATGTAGCTCACATTACCGTATCGATTTATGTAGAGCATGAGTTGCTCGTAAACATATCTTATGAAGAATTAATTTTTTATCTTACCTAATTTAACCTTACATAATCTAATAAGTTTCTAGTATTTACATTTTAGATATTTTATAATAAATAAAGAATACACATGAAAAACATGAAATATAGTACTTACCTGGGTCTTTTTTTTTCTTACTGTGGATGAAATGGAACCCTACTTTTTTATACTAATGATACTGTACTAAATTTTTATTTAATAATGCACCTAAGAACACAGAATAATAGCATGCACAAAGTAAACAATGTCATATAATTATCATCATTTATCTGGCTTTCTAATGATGGGATAAGAGCCTTTAAAAATTCAGCTAAGCTTTCAATATGAATACCATGAGAAAAAGTTTCATATTGATGGTGAAATAGACAAGAGTAATATACTTTAAAACTCTGGCTTTCTATTGATTATAAATAATGTAGTATAAACCATCTGAGAGAACTACTGGCAATTTATGATAAAGAGGCATGTATGGCATGTGAGTCTGATATTCTAGTTTATGGCTCTGTAAAGAAATAAGTTTGAAGGCTATAAAATTATACCTTGCTTTCGTAATATCTATATTACAATAAATAATTTACATTAAATTCCATACTTTTCATAGGGGTGGTAAATAAAATTAAAGAGGAGATATCCAGAGAGTAAATTTTCATAGTAAGAGAGATTGAGGATTTTTTAAAATATATCCTTATAAGATTTAAAACATACAACTTATATAAAATTAAAATTTGATTTATTAATTATATTCTGATGCCAAATGTATATGTTTACATTGATAATAAAGCACTCTAATTAAATTTTGAATGTAATTCTTAACAGGTAGTAACATGCTCACTTTGACCTACCCATAGGGAAAGGGTTAATCAATCTTTCTGAACTGTTTATCACTACAGGTGTAAGAGTAATTGGCTTATAAATACCTGGACGATGCTTGTTACCTATTTTAAAAGTAGGTGTAAAATTAGCCAGTCTTCTAGTACCTGCTTACTACCCAGCCTCACAAAAAAGTTTAGTAAGGGGCCTCTTTTGCAATTCTTAACATCTTTTAATACCCTTGGGAAATTATTATCTGGCTCAATAGCCTTAATATTTTTAAACTTCTCAATTTTTCTCTAACAGTTTCAAGGCTAATAATTAAGTTTATGTACATCCATCATATTTCCTACAAGTAATATCTCAGAATCTGGAATATTGTTCACATCTTCTACAATGAAACTGAAGAAAAATTCAGCATGTAAACTGTCCCATAATCATCCATAATAACTCTTCTTTCAACATTCTTCCAAGACCTATTTCCTATTTTAACATCATGTTTATACTTATATTTTTATATCTTTGCTGTTAGTTTTAACATTTTCAGAAAATTTTTTCTCATACATCTTTTTGGTTTTGCTGATATCCTTTTACCAATTCTCTTGATTTTCTACAACCCTCCAAGACTTCAGTCTTAGTAGTAGAACTGCTGACGAGAGGTAAAGCAATGGCTGGCAACATTAACATTTTCCTTACCTGAAAATGTATTTCTGATAGATGCTCACTTCCATACATAAATAGCTATTTTCCTCTTGAAGTCACACATATCTTCTGAAAGATTTATATACCAACAGCCTTGTGAAACTCCCATCTAAATTCACATGTCCATGTGAATATGTGTTACTACATGATGATGTATCATGCAGCAAAACCTTCCACCAACAAGAGTGTGACACACCTCCTTGAGCAAATCCTCCCTCTGCATTTGCTTGCAAGAATCCTCATTCTTTGACAAGGCAGTAATGAAAGATGCACTGGGAAAGTGCAGAGGATGGGCAGGTACATGTACGGTGATGAGTATTTATCAGAAATACATTTTCAGTTAAGGAAAATGTCAACTTCCAAAAATAATACTCATACCCATACACAGATATCTAGAATCCCATGTCAAGATGGTGGAGGGATTGATGCAAAAATTAGCTAGATGAATAATGTTCTGAAAGCTTCTAAAGAAGCCCATGGAGTGTGACAGGGGTCAATCCATAGGGCACACCCATAGGAGACCATATCTCATCTCACCTAGGGTATACTCTTTGCCTGTGTATAGAAAGATAAGAGGCTAAAATCCCACAATGCTTCACAAGGATGGGTGGAGTATGTATGCTTGCATACAAGCCATCAGATGGCCAATATGTGTAGTAAGGTTGAAGCTCATTCAGACCATACCTTGTGCACTCACCTAATCTACCACCAGAAGGGCACATGTGAAAAATATCTGTGCACACCTCCTCAATCACTAGTAGCCCCAGGTCAGCTGAAAGAGAGGAAGGCATTGTATTGCAATGTCAGTATGAATACTTATATAATCACTACTTGACCATCAGTCTCTATGGGCCCCTTATCTGCTATGGGAGTAGGGTGTGTGTGAGTGCTACATCATAGTTGTATATGGAGTTAGTTTCATCTACTCAGCCATCAGATTCCTCGGGTTCATGCAACTGCAAGAGTAGGAATTGTGAAAGAAATGTACATATATATTTATAAGAATGATTAATTAGATGTATCCATATTCCATTTAGAGATTGTTATGTATCAAAAAGAATGTGGGGGTGAAAAGCACAGCTTTCTGGAAACACCCCAGCCCCACTTCTCATTGCAGAGAGACCCCTTGTTCTAGCCCCAGTCACATTTCTGTTACATTATATATGTATATACATTATTACTATTTATAAATAAGTTCTTAAATTCCAGTTTTCTTAAAACATAGAACAGTAAATACAGAAGTATAGAAAACAATTATTTCTTCTAGTTACAAAGTTTGCTGCTTCTTGTAGCTTGCTAAGACTCATTTCACACATGGAAGATGTAAAACAATATAATTTTTTTTAGGTTTTATATATACATTTTTAAATAACAAAAGTCATAAACTACTATATCAATACCACAAAATTCCACTGTAATTTACCAAGATTAGTAACTAAGCTGTATTTGGGTTTAAAAAAATTGATTTTTAGCTCACTAATGTCTTACCTTACCACTTGGAATCTAGCTTGAAAAGAAAGATTTTCCCACAAAAATAATTTGCAGATGCCAAGAAAACCACTATGGGGACATTCTGAGCTTTTGATTGATTATGCACATATCACTGGGTGAAGCAGGTGCAAGTAAGCATTTTAAAAAATGTAAGAGGTGGGTGGCACCACTTTGGTGGATTCAATAAATATATTAATATCTC